GCACAGAAGTCTGTTGGAGTCAGCCTCCCCACCATCAAAGACATCTACACCTCTAGATGCAGGAAGAGGGCCACCTGCATCATGAAGGACCCCACTCACCCAGCACACACACTTTTTGCCCCACTTCCCTCAGGAAGGAGGTTAAGGAGCATTAAGTGTATAGAACCACTAGACTGAGGAACAGCTTCTACCTTGATGCTGTTAGACTCATGAATCTCTAACCAGAATAATCACTGTGAAAAATCACATCATGTTGCTGCTGATTTTTTTCATGTTGCTGTGTTCATGTGTGCTCGTCTGCTCACACAGACTCATGTTCGTGCTGCTGTTTGACGCAATGTTTTTATGCTACCAGTGCTTAGTGTGTTATTTAGATGATGTTTTTTCTTAGTTCATATCTTAGATCTTTTTACTGTTTTTCTTTTACATTTTATTGTTGGATTGTTGGACTCTACTTCCACTCATGTGTCAAAGCAGGATATTCAACCTTTATTTATACACGTTAGTCTCATGGAGTCACAAGGACTCATTTACAAGAGAGACCTGTTTTAAACAGGGAACACAGATGAGGTACATACAACATACATATAAAATCATGTAAAATGAAAAGTATATAAAATAAACAAAATAATGGTAAAACAAGATACATAATGAAACAATGTAAATTTCTAAAACAGGAACATGTCTGCATTGATTTTTGCAATGAACTTAACTAGTTTAAAATCAAATCATTGCTGTGCCGAAATACAAAAATCACAGGCAAACTCTGTTTTGTACTGCTTGATGTATAGAGTCTACAGAAAATCTATTTTTTGTGGAAAGCTTGTAGAATTTTGAAATCACTGAGATCCTGAGCATGAGATAATTATCATATTCTTGATTATAACAAAAATGTCTTACTAAAGATCATATAGCATCAATTTTGTCTGTCTGGTCACTTTGTAATAAGACACGAGATGTGCTGAATTGATTATCCCTCACCATAAACTATTTGATTGTTTGAAGATAATCACAATCTTTTTTTTATTTTCATGTTTACTACTTTTGTGTTTTTGACCAACATAAATCAGAACAACGTCACAAGAGGTCAACATCTGTAAAGACACCTTCAAGTCTGGACTTTGCCTGACAAGTTTGAACTCTGGCCTGTGTGGTAATATGGCCGCCTCTTGGGTGGCTTAGAATTGCTCTAAATAGCTGGTATTTCCCACCATGAACAAAGATGAGGAAAACCCACCATCACCAGTCAGAGAGCGCAGACGGTGCAGCAGAACTTAGTAATGTCCCTCATATGACTGAATTGGCAATTGTTGACCTTTGTTGTCTGTGAATGAAACTGAGGACACATGTTGGGTGGTAAAAGTGTCAAAGCCTGACTGAGGGTCCATTGTACTGGTTTCCAGTGGTAGCAGTTCAGCTTTGTTCCCTGTGTTGTTCATCATTAGCATATCAATATTCAGAGGGGTTGATGGTGGGCAGAGGTGGCAGCCTTTTTAGCCTTATAGACCCTCATAGACACAAAAAACAAGACATGTTTTCAGCTCTGAAGGGCCAACTGTTGAGTTAAATACACAACTGATGAAGAGTTGCTTAATTTCTCAGTGGTTGGAAAGCGGAGCAGCGTTGCAACTTGGTGTATTTTTTACTCTTTTTTTTCCTCAAAAGAATAGAATCTGTTTCTCTTCTATTGTTTTTGAAGCACTTTTGACCCATTTCTCCAGTTCTCCTGGATGAATAACAAAAGGCAAAATGGTGTCACCCCTTTCCACCCCACCCCTCCTTCTACTCAAGCCAGCTGACCCCAAGACTGGCAGGTTGGTGGACAGTTAGCCTCATCTAGTATTGTGTGTTTGTGTGTGTGTGCGTTCATGGTAAAGCCAACAAAGTATCGGTTAGTGCGAGGGCCAAACGGTGAAGCGGTTGGACAGTTTAGCCAGCTGCTAGGGGTTGCGAGCCTCAGCTGGCCTGGTCAGTGAAACCTTGCCAGATGGAGCCCTTTTCAAAACAAAGAGAGTTGCCTGCTATAGCTACAAACTAGAGGCTGGTTAACCAGGCAACACACGTACTTTGCAAAGCCTTGAAAACTCTAAATGAGTTCAATTGAAATATGGATCATGCTGGAGTTCTAATGCAGCTAAAATCTGTGACACAACCTTGAATATGTAGAACATCTAAACAACGTTTACTGCCATTTTTACAAACTTGCATCATTAGGATGCACTTTCAAACTTTCTGTCCATATCAAAGCGTCACATGCTTGTTTAGCTCTTCCTGTCTTTTTTTCCAAACAGCAACAGGCTGAGGTGTCTTGGGATGAAACTGTTTAAGAGTAACCAAGCCTGGGTAATGAGGCGTGTGATTGGTCCCCTCCCTCCTGGACAAGGCCACTCTTTATAAGATATGATTGATCATGACAGCAGCACAATGGTGGCCTGGTGTCAGAGGGGTGGCATGGGTGCACACGGACCCCCCGCAGCAGCACTCATTCACCCAACTCAGTTGCAAGCAGTTACACAGAGAGACAGCATGCATACACATACAGTACATGAGTTTGGCGACATATTGAGCTGGAAAAATCTATAAATCTTATCATGAAAATCAACAAGAAAAATAAGAGAAGCTGATTTCCAAAATTTTTAATGTTTTTCAGTGTTTTTGCCATTATGGTCTTACCTTTACTACTTTTCCTTTAAGTAATGAACTATTGTGCGTTTTTCAAAGACAGATGCTTAATAGTACCAATGCTATCCATTCAGTACAAGTAAGATGGCTTGCCTTTAATAGTGACTTATAAAACCAACATTTTCAAAAGTAATATTAGCTAAAATCAGTTTAAAGAGCACCATGACATGAAAACATTGTTTTCAATGGAAAAAAAATAGCCAAATGATTCAGAAACATATAAGTATGTCTCCTAATATAGCTTGATAGTAATGATATTTGGGTTTTACACCTGCACAAAAACAATTGTATTAAATATATTTAGTTTTTTTTTTTTACAAAAAAAATCAAAACATCTAAAGAAAATACTAACATAAATGTATTTGTGTCATTTTCTAATCATTTTGAAACACACCTGATTTTAAGAAAGCTGCATTTATGAAGCTATAATGTTTTCCTCCAGACAAGTGTCCCCACTTGAACGACAGCAGAGGTTTGATCTGAAACATTTAGTTTGTTCTTTTGAAGATGCTGTTGTTCGCAAGGCACTTGTTGTGACAGCCGAACCAGCTCATTAAGGTCAAAAATCAAGTTCTCATAGGTGCAAAAGACAGAGCCCTTATGGAGGACCATTAAATTTGCTTATGGCAGCTGCTCTCATGATGAGACGCAGGTGGGTTAACACTGCACCAATTTTCTGTAAGGATGCTGTGTGGATACTGGTGCGTGGAAACAAAACAAAAAAATAGGATCAGAGCTTTGACGGGGATCGGTTCATCTTAAATCTTCTTTTTTCTGCTGCTCCTTTCCTCAGGGGTCACTACAGTGAGCTAATTAGCACAAAGACTTGGCAATTGTTTTTACACTGGATGACAAACCAGAGACCACCGCGCTACCACAGCCTTCTGTGTGGAGCAAAGAGCTACCATCTAGGGCACCTGGGGGAGCCGATGGTGGGAGTTAAGGGCCTTGCTCAAGGGTCCAGAATGGGGCAAATAAGGATGGAGACAGGTGTGGGTGCTTCACCTTTCGCACCCACATTTTGATGGTGTCGGTCGAGAATGTCAAAACAACATGAAAAGAAGAAAAAAAGAAAGTTGCTTTAAAAAAAAAAAAACTTGAATTTTTAACATCTTATTTAGCATTTCTGTCATCTTCACAGACATAGGAAGTAGGGGTGAGAAGGGTGCTGCAGCACCCCTTGTTGGATGCCAGAGGACGTGCATGGCTAAAAACAGGGTTGAAGAAAAAGAAATCAATTTTCATTAGTCTTGCATTAGTTTTAATTCCACTATTTGGATTTTATTTACATAATAATTACGGTATAAACCAGCACTTGTTGTTACATTTGCGAGCAAAATTTTACAAGCACTCAAAACTCACAAAATGTGATCAGATTGGCATATAGGTCATGATAGCAATTTTATAAATATTTTCTGTTCAGGAGGTAGAAAATATATCTTAATGCTTGTGTTCAGATAAGACAGCTTGTCAGTTTATTCCTTTTAAGTAAACTGAGTCAGCCAAGTCACATTTCTGTCATACATATAAAAAAAATCGTGTTTTTTTTTTTTTTTTTCACTGTGGATGAGAAGAGGAAAGCAGTCTTGTTTTTCCTGCTTTAAGCTCCTCCAGCTGTGTGGAAGCCTTTACAGATTTACATGTTCTTCCTTAATCTGCCCATTGCTTGTTTATCGGGTCTTGCTGACTTCATAAAAAACCTCACTGTGTAAACATGCTTTTTATAAAAGGAAAGAATGCGCTGGGAATGATCATGAGATAATAGATCATTATTTTGTCCATGTCTAATTTCCTTTGGTGCACTAATGATGAACACACCAGTTGTTAATTGGCTTACACTGCTTGTGGGCCGGGCGGGTAAAATTGAATCAAAGCTGCACCAAATTATTAAGACGTGGCACCCAGCCAAAAATAGGCGGTGTTTCTATCTGGCTACTAAAAACAAAACGCATGCCAAAACATCCAGGTCCAGACCTACTTCCTGTGTCTTTTATTGTCTGTAAAGCTGATCAGACAGTTTTCATGCAGGCCAAGACAACAGCGCGTTCGCTCCATCCATTCGGATGATTTAAGTCTATTTTTATCCCGACAAAGGAGCGACGCAGAGATGGAAACGCATGACAACAATGTCCAATTGCCCCATTGTGCGCCTTTCAAAGACAGACACGTGCAACAAAGATAAGTAGGGAGAGAGGGGAGGGCAAGTGTAGACTGGTGTGTGTGTGAGACAGAGAGAGAGACAGACAGAGAGAGAGAGAGAGAGAGAGAGAGAGAGAGAGAGCTTTAAATATAGCCTCGAGGGGTGATAGAGCAGCCAGTTTAAGAGAAACTCCCCTTTCAGCACCCTGGACAGAGGCAGCGGGTGTTTTAAAGGTAAAGTGAAGCGCGTGCAGGCTCAGCACTTCTCCCCCCTTCCACTGCCGCACACCTCTCCTCTCATCTCTGGCTTATTAACGAGGCATCACAGACAAGCAACTTGATGAAGACGCGTTTGTGTTTCTGAGGATAGACAGCTCACTCAAGCGGATAAAAACCATTGGCCGCTCACACTGAGCTGCTTTTATTTTTTATTCAATTTTGTTTTTTATTCGATTTGCGCCTTTTCCTGCCGTTTTTCCTTTCACTTGGAGCATCTTGGGAAGATGCTGCTGGAACATCCGGGATCAAGTTGTCAAAGCAGCGGAAGTTTTTCCCGGTACGCCTCGGGTCAAGGTGAGACACTCACAGCTTTGAGATTTGCGTAAAGAAAGGAAGGAACCTTAAAGAGAGTTTAGAAGGGGTCATCGTGCAGCACAGCAGGACTGAAGGGTCCAGTTCACTCTGACAAGCATGAAATAGGTGCTTAAAATAGTTTAACGCGTTGCAAAAATAATTTATGGGTTTTTGGAGGGGGGGGGTCAAACACGGAGGTAAAAGTTGCAGAAATTCCCTTTAAAAATCATCATCTCTTGATTCCACTGAGACATTTTCCTGGCGTCTCTCTCTTATGTATTTATTTCTTTGCCCGGAGACGTTATGAATCCGTAATGAGCGCTCATTGTTGGAGAATGGCACGAGCAGATGTTATGCGCGTGCTGTCACCTCACACCGCCGCCCGCAGACATCGCGGGAGCGCGGAGAGCAGGACGCGGAGGACGCACCGATCAACAGGTGTCCCGTTTCTGCCCCGACAGGTGGGACACCTAAGGTCCGAGGGGGGCAAGGAGGTGCTCGGGTCTTCTTGAGCAAACGGGAGCTCATTATAAATTCAAGCACCCCAGATCTGCAGGTTTCACCTGTTGCGGGTTACAAATAAGATCCAGGTGCGTGACTGGTTTATTCCCAGACCATCAAGATGATTGGGATTAGATAAAGACTTTATTATTTCATCATCTTTCCAAGTTTCCTCTAACTGACTGCGCAGTCCTCTGATGGTCATTTTATGGCCCTGTTGTCACATTACTGTCGACTCAGCCCGCTTCAAAAGCCACCGATCAATACGAAATAAGAAATATTACAAAGTATATGCGGGGAGAGAAAGGGTGGGAAGGAAGAGCATCCATGAACCCCACACACCTTTCTCCAAAAACGCCTTTCATATACTGTTGAAATCCAGGCAAATGGGGCATTGATTTTAGATTCATCAGCGGCCCCGGGCTGCGTGGGGCCACTAGCCGTGATTTCCCCAGGCGCTCTTTTGTGCCAAAGATCAGTGTCAATAAAATTCATTGGGGTGCTGGCCCGATCAACATGTTATTGAACAACCAGTCGCTCCCCTAAATAAACACTTGTCTCCGAGCTCGCATAGAACCGCGTGTGCATGCGCGCGCACGTCTGTGAAAAATGTGAAAGACATTTTAAAAATAATGATTCGCTTGAAGTTTTTTTTTTTTTATGAAATCAGGCAGGGCTAATGTTTAGTGAGTTATTAAAATTATTCTAACTGCTACGAGAAGATGCTCTTGTAGATTATTATTATCATAATAATAATAATAATTATTAATAATTATTATTATTATTATTATTATTTGGGGAAAATTATATCGTGCGGTTTTTTTGGTGTTGTTTTTTTTTTTGTTTGTTTGTTTGTTTGATTGTTTGTGTTGTATTTTTTTTCCCAGGGTTGGATTTTAATTTTAAAATAAAATAATAAAAAGAAAATAACAATAAAATAAACATATTTACAACTTTATGTCACTAATAATAATAATAATAATAATAAGTATTCTTCATCTTTTTCTTTAGTTTTAGTTGTGTATTTTCATTCTTCTCTGTTTTATGTGTTTGTGTCGGCTCAGTTTTTATTTCTACTACTTTAATCATGTTTAATCTTTCTGAGAGTTTAAAAAAAGTTTTTTTTTCTTTATTGTTTTTAAAAGCTAAAAGCCTGAGCACGTCATCTTTTTTCCTATAATGATTTGACTGAATCAGTCCAGATTTACACACAATTTTCTGAATATTTATAGAGAAAACAAATTAAAATGAATTTATTTTTTCAGATGCTCATATTTCAGTTTGCTAACTTAAATAAAAAGTTTAAAAAAAAATTTTTTTTTTTTTTTTTTTTTTTCAAATCTTTGCCATTGCCTCTCTCAGTGCTGAAACTCTTTTGGCTTCAACTCATGCCACTTGCTGCCCGTTCTTCTTCCGGGTAAGGTTCTCCCCAGCAGGTGATGTTGATCTCTGCTGTCGCCCATGGAAACGGCAGCGCGTATCCTGCGCAGGCTTGAAACTGAAAACAAGCAAACTCTGCTGCTGCATTCATGCGCGCTCTTGCTCAGGTCCGGGACTCCTCGCTGCTCAAATTTAGCAACACTCCTGCTGGGTGCCTTTGTTTGTTTGTGGGCGTGTGTGTGTGCGCGCGCGACGTGTTAATGTAAATCATGCGTAATGGATGGACATGGTGAGCGCAGTTCTCTCAAAGAGGCTCCAAACAATGCGGAGATGCTTCTTGCTCTGCTGTCACACAGTGAGGAGTTACGGAAAGGTAAAGGGGACTCAGACTATCACCACTTTGTTGTTGTTTTTTTCTTCCATTGCTGTTTTTGTCGCGCGGGGATACAGAATGTATCCGCGCGCTTTGGTCATATATAGGCCTAGGGTTGTTTAAAGGAGGTATATCTTTATGAAGCTTAATGCAGCTGCACTTTATTCATTAAAAAACATAATTTTAAAGCAGATAGGACAGCATGGGGGTGGGGGTCTTATTGCAAATGTTCAGATTTTTATTTACGCACAGTTTGTTTACCTCGCATCGTTCACCGTTTGGATTTTACGCATTTTTGCAGCATTGTGCACTCTTTGCAGCATCGAGCTAGAAGAATGCGGGGGGATATACAGTTTCTGTTCATCAGGAAATCCTTGTAATCCTCACAAGAATCCTCATCCTTCCACCCGTCCAAACTGAGCCGGGATTTCGTGTGGGTTTGATCCGCGGGGCCACACAGGCCGCAGCTTTCTAGTTTTACCCAGAGGCTGTGAATAAATGATGAGCCGGATCCACCTGTTCCTGACGCGGGTCCCGCTGCTGATGCTCGTCAATGTTTCATGAGCCTGTCCGCCACGGAACAATGGGGGCGCGCGGTCCTCGCACGGCCCCACACAGCGCTCGAGCTGCTTTTAATTAGTAATAAAGAGGCCGAATAACCCCAGAACTCACCTGGCGGCCCACGTGTCCTCATTTCACTTCCGGTGAGTCGCTCAAACTGTTGAAGCTGCTGATTTCAGTTCAGGCTCAAAAACTAAAAATAAATCAATTATCAATCTTTGGTTACTTATTTAGGACTTGAATTGTGAGAATGAATAGTTGGAGATAATTATGGGACAAGTCATTTTTGCCATCATGCTTAATGGTTTTATTATAAGTACATTGTAATTAAGTAACTGCATTTCTTTTTTTAAATCCTGGAATCAGTTTTTTTTTTTTTTTTGCATTTTTTTTTTTTTTTTTTTTACTGCCGTTTTGGTGTTCTGGTTATCATTATAATAAAATAAAGTTATTTCTAATATTCCAGTTGTAAAATTAATTTCGTGTAAGGCATTTTAAAATCAGTGGGCATCTGCTGAACCAAATGAATCAAGTTTCGTGTCGTGGAAAACTCCAACCCCTTTTCATTTGTGCAAACACTTGAAAACAACAAATAAAATTCACATATTAAGCATTGATTTGTTTTATTTATTTATTTTTCTATTACTCATAGCAAAAGCAACTGTTTTATGTGTGATGAGGTTGAAATGTTTAAAAAGGTTGAATTTTCCGGACAAAGCAAAAACAGCCGACCAAAAAAGTGCGTGTTCTTTGGCTGATTCTTGTTTTGAAACATATAAATACAATCTTTTTTTAAATATAGCTATAGCAGACTTATCCGATCGGACTCAAGCCGATATAAGCGCGTGATTTGTTTGCTTGTTTGTTTGTTTATTTATTTGCTTGCTTGCTTGCTTTACCATCATTTTAACCATAAACTGCTATCACACCTTCTTTTTTAACTAACCTTTTATAGTCAGGTAAATCGCAACATGGGAAAACTAAAAAAAAATAATTAAAATATAAACAAGAAAAACACATGTTTATTCGTTTATATGCTTTTGATAATTATCTAATTTACTATATATCCCATGTATTAATCAGGGAGTTTCCATAATTAAACAGCAACAAAAGGATGATTATTTCTGCAGCTGCGCGCATTAGCGACACAAGGATCACTTTTCCTCTCCTGCTCCTCTTTTCTCCTTTAACCTGTTATGATCCCCCCCCCCCCCCCCCCCCCCCCCCGGTGTCTTGCAGATATCCCGGTGTGCGCAGGCTGCAGCCAGCACATCGTGGACCGCTTCATCCTCAAGGTTCTGGACCGCCACTGGCACAGCAAGTGTCTGAAATGCAGCGACTGTCACGCGCAGCTGGCGGACAAGTGCTTCAGCAGGGGGGACAACGTCTACTGCAAGGAGGACTTCTTCAAGTGAGTGGGAAACGGGGTTCACGTCAAATATGTGCAGTGCCCATATAACGCTTCTAACGCTCTCGTGTCCCAACGACAAAAAGGAGATTCGGGACTAAATGCGCGGCGTGTCAGCAGGGCATCCCGCCCACGCAGGTGGTGAGGAGAGCGCAGGACTTCGTCTATCACCTGCACTGCTTCGCCTGCATCGTGTGCAAGAGGCAGCTGGCCACGGGGGACGAGTACTACCTGATGGAGGACAGCAGGCTGGTCTGTAAGGCCGACTATGAGACCGCCAAACAGAGAGGTGAGGAAATCATTGCGGCATTGTCAGTCCCAAGAGAAGTTGTCCACTCAGCTTTCAATACGTCTTGGTGCTGGGCTCGCGTGGGCTTCGGGAGACACGGCGAGAGGAAGACGCGTAAAAATGAGAGGAGCTCAGTGGGTGCGCGAGGCTCCATATGTCTAATAATGCTGCAGGTGAAGTTGTGAAATATAAAGATTTTAATGCAACCCCCTTTTTATATTCTAACA